TGGCACAGCAGATTTATTGTTAGAAATACTTTGTTCTTGAGTTTCATCATGTTTTTCTGCTTTCACTTGCTGCAGAGTTTTTTAAATGCAGGAATAGTTTGCACTTCTAGAGTGAAACTGGGACAGGTGTAAAGAAAGGCTGTTCAGACCATCCAGCTTCCCCACAGATATTTTTGATGACAGAAAGCAAAGGGAATTTTGTGTCTCAGCTTCAAAACATGCAAACTGAGGTGTGAGAAGATTTTTGACTGCAAATGCAAGAAGCAAGTAAAGGGAAAGGTGTGGGTATATGAGAGGGAACTGAAAAGCCATGAAAAGAATCTATTGCCAAATGGCTGTAAACAAATTTAAGCTGGGAAGAAGCAGTTTGCTATAATAATTAGGAATGGTCTGTCCTTAGGTATTCCAGAATGAGTATAATGGGGACAAAAGATCCTTGCAAACCCTGTTATGGAATAGGTACATTTCTGTTGAAATTTGGGAATAGCACTAGGATGGGAAGGGAGGGGCTTTTGATGCTCTGGTTGTGTGGAATTTGGAGTTAAAAGAATTGAGAGTCTTAGCTGATGTCATGGTATCCAATTCATTTAAAACTGTCATATTTCCAGTGGCACTTTTTACTTTATTGACTGAAATCTCAGTGAGGGTACTGAAGTGAGAACTGAACTTCAGCCCAAATGTCCATCTCATGCTTTGCCAACTGGCACTGGAATGTGCCAAAAGCTCCTTACCTGGCCTGCTGCAGGGAAATGGCCTTGGCAAAGGAACACACCAGAAATTAATGAGTTTTAATGTCAGTTCCCTGCAAGCCTAATTCTGCCTTTCAAGAAAATCTGGAAAGCTGGTCCAAGGCTCCTCCCCGTGATAAGGCTAATTTGCATCCTCAGAAATGAGGGATGGAAGAGAATGTGTTAGAAATAAAAGTCCCTTAAGTAGTTTGATTGATTTGATTTTCATATTTAAAGGGAAATTAGGGTCTGTCTTTAAGACCCCAGCATTTCCTTTTGCCATTTTAAAGCAATTTTTAAATGGATTTGCTTGTTTAAACAATACAGACTGAACATGGATATTGAGAGTACTGGAATTTATCAAGTCTAAACAAGACAATTTTCTGCAGAACTGATTCTACATAGATTAAGCAAGATGAGCAGATAAGGTAGAGTGAGCCCACTGGAACAACAAAACCCCCCATGGATGTGTTTTAGTGGGAATATTGGGATAATGGGTGACTTAATATTTTTTATTATCGTGTGCCCTGTGGGACACATTTCACTCTGAAATATAGAGAGGACTTTTCTGGCTTGCATTAAAACTCTTCCTGAAGCTAAAGCCCTCCATCTCCCTGAGCAGTCATTCCTCAGGGATGTTCTGTTTTGGGCACTCATGAGTCACAGATGGAAAAGGTGACAACCTTGGTTGCCTAAAGCTCTGTACATTCCTTAATATCCAGTCACTAAGGAATGAAAAAGTACTTATCCAGGGGGGTGAGATGCATTTCCTCTGGCCAAAAGGTGAACAGTTGATAAAATTCCTCCTCATTGCTCGGATTTAGAGGCTCTCACAAAGAAAATGTAATAGTGTTTCATTTACTTGGACTTTGGTTGGTACTGTGCTTGAAGCCATTTCAAACGTGAGCTCAACTTATTTTTAAGCAGCTTTCTTACTCCTTAAATATATGAAAAGATAATCAGGAAAGCTCACTGTAAGTGTGAGTGTTACAAAGAACTTGTCACAGTGAACACAAGCTCAAGATCTCTGTTTATAAAGATATGATCCCCATGTGTCAGAGGCATGATTTTACCCACACCAGCACAGTGAACATTGAACAAATATTGACAAATATTGGATTTACAGGCTTTCCAGTAATTCCTTTCAAAATCATACTAACTGTGATGATAGTTAAGCTGTGGCAGTAGGATTGTTCTTATGTTCTGTCCTGGCTGAATTTTTTTCAAGTTTGCTAATTTGGGGGGATTAGAATTCTAACATAGAATGGTACAGAATTGTTGCTATATCCCCTGGATCATCTTCCTCAGAGGACTAAGTTTCTTAGAAACAAATTCTTTGCCATCTCTGATAGCAGAGACTATGAACCATTAACTTCTAGCAATGCTACAAGTATCTGTACATGTTAAAAATAGGCTCTAAAATACAAGCCCCTACTATCCTGAAATTTCTTAGTTTATACACACTCTATTTTGTTTTTATGTTTCCCTTCTGCACCTCCTGTAAAATCCATCTGACAGATGCTAACACAGATCTGAGATTCATTAGATGGTCATTAATTATCCTAAAGGGATATTTATGGATAGCAGCACTGTGTAATTTGGGCTGTCAAGACAAATTGACCAAATGGCTTCTCTGTAACCACCCAGCAACTGAGGCAGGCTAATGACAAAATTCTGTGCATGGTATCCCTCTAAATCCAACACAAAATCTAGTGCAAGAAAGAGTTTAGTGAAAAGAGTTTAGTCTGGTGATCATCACGCTGAGTCTCAAAAGAAACTCATGGTTTAGATATTGGAGCAATTATAAACACTCCATGGCATTTTTCATTAATTAATTTATGAATAAAAGTTTCTACATAAATAGCATTTTATATAAATAGTGTTACTGGGCTTTCAGGTGGAGGGTTGAGAGTGGGCAATCCTGAGCTGGGAGCTCTCCCTCAACCTCAGTCGTGTGTTTCATCAGCCTTCCCCTTCAATTATTTTTCCATTTATTTTGCGACTTAAAGGCCAAATGTAAAATCTAACAAAAACACCCTAAACTGATCACCCCCTTGTCCAAATAAAGGTGTCATGGTTTCTACTGAAATCATTTCAGGCAGTGTGCTTTTATCAGGAATGGTGTGTCCAGGAGCCCTGGATTCCTCACCCCAGGTCTGAGTGCTGGTGCTTCTGGCTGTTACCCAGGGGATACATGCACTGAATGCTTTGGTGCTGCTCCTGGCAGCACAAACTGCTTCTCACTCACAGTTCTTTCACAGAAAATACATTTTAACAGTTATTTGCTCGTGAAGTTGCTTTCCTTGCTGCTCTTCATTCGTGTTCTGCTGATGCTCCAGTGCATGATTAGCTTTTGGCCCTGCTGGTTTATCTCTATATTACATCTGGCACTGACCAAATTACAAGGAGGAATTACATTAATTTAGCCAGTGCTATATTTCAGTGAACAACTCTTCAAAATATTATTGTATGCAACAAGACTGATCCCAGGGAGTTAATATTTTAAGTGCAAAAGGTCAAGCATGTCTTGTTTATGCTTCAAGGCCATGTCTGACAGTCAGTTTTCCTGCTGTTTGCACCCATCAGTCCGAATAATCTTTATGATCTACTAATTGAAAAAATACCCTTCAGAGTTATGCCGTGGAGGAGAGTATAAAGGTGGCTGTACAGAAATTCTTCAGGCTTTTACATAAGGCAGTAATTCCTCAGTGCCTCTCACCCAGCCCTTTTCTGAAGTTACAATTGTCTATATAATGCATTAAGAGCAAGCTTAAAAGTCTCTATGTAGCTTTACTCTGAGCCATCTGCTGAGCTCTGCTTTCCCTCAAGTGTTCTACAAGTTGTGTTGCTAAGATAGAAAAATGACTAAAATTTTAGTGGTTTGCCGAAGCTATTTTTTCTAAAACATTTAACTCTGGTAGCAGTGAGAAAACAGCAAAACCATTAACAATAATCTTTACAGTGAACCTGTGATGCAGAGCTGCAGTTGCTGGGCTGAGCACTGCTTCCTTGTGTGTGCACAGTCACATTTGGGGCCCCGTGGGCTCGGTGCTCTCACCTAGAAGGGAATCTGGAGGAGGTGGTGGCAGGACACCTTTGTGTCTCTCTGTTCTTAGCACTGGTGTCCCAGAACAGTTTCTTAGAACAAGGATGACACAAGATAACTAACTCATTCCAGGCTTGTTACAGAAGTAACTGCAGAATTTACTGGAAAGAGGGTTCATTTATTCCTGGCCTGTGTCACCCAGGTATCTTCTTCCCAACAGAAATCCACAGAGCTGGAAAAATCCTTCTTTGGGCCTGTTTCAAACTGGAAGTGGAAGCAACCCTTGGTATAATCATGGGTGATCTGTCTGCTAAAGAAATCTGTTCTCAGAGTCTCAGTTTGTTCCCAGAAATCTGGCCTGGTGCCCACTCAAACTGTTGCTTGGTGTCAGCTGGCTGCCTTTTATTAGTAAAGACTTGTGGGTGTGGGTCCAAAAACCAGTCTGCATTTTAAAGTGGATTTATATGAATTTCCACAAATATAGATGCTAGGCTCAGAATAATTTTTCACATGTGAGCTTTCTGCTAAAATATTTACACCACGTCTAAAAGCCCATTTATTATAATATGACTCGGTAATACATAAAGGGTTACTTGTAGACCATGCATAGAATAAAAAAGCAGAGACCTATATATTGTGTGTTCATACTGCTGACTTGCTCTGTATCACATATAAAAGCAGTTAAAAAAGGGCTGATTTTACAATGTATTAACTACAAACAGTCTGCTTAAAAAGAGATTAAAAAAGAAAGAAGGGGGCTGTTGAACCATTGTTTGCTGTTTGTAAGACACAGCACTACAAAAACTTGCTGTTGTTTTTTTCTGTTTCCTCTGATCTGAACACTCTCAAGGTCGGTAATAAATATGACATAAAAGTTCTTGGAAAAAATATGTATTTTTCCCCTGGAGAAACTTTCACTTGTAAATTCATTTCTTTCAAAGAAAGGTGTTTGCAAGTAATTCTACTTGAGTGTTTCATTACTATGTTATCAATATGTTAAATTTTAATGTGGATATCACTAAATGAGAACTGTACATGTATTTAGTAAAGATATATTCTGCTAAGGAAAAGTTGAACTTATAGTCAAAAAATCCTGAAGTCTCTCTGCATTTGGATTTTGTGTGACCTGAATTTTTGTACTGGGTGTAGGTCTAGCAGTTTTATTTTCTTTAAAAGGCTTTGCAAGTGCATGGTTATAACACTCAGAATATCAGGAGAGTGCTTACCGTGGAGGTGGGTCAGGGTACATGATGTTGACCTGAGAAAGTATGTCCAGGTAGGAACCAAAGTCACAAGCCTGGGGGAACTCCTCGGTGCAGGAGGATCTCAGCTCTCCAGAAGAGCCACCATGGGAGAAGCCATCTGGAGCTGCAAAACAAGCAATTCAGATTTGCTGCTCTTTCCTTCCCTGGTGGATTCCCTGTCACTGTTCATAACACTGCCATGAGCTTGTCACTTTTGTATAAACGTTTATCTGGGTGAGGGAATGACATCTCTGTTTCAGGAATAAAATTTAAAGTCCAAAAGAAGTGAAATGCAAACCAGTGTTTGCTGAAGGGGTTGCTGAAGTTCCCGGGGGTTGCACACATGGAAACCCTGACCATTCCATGAGGGTTTTCCAAGCAGGGGTAGGCTTTTGATTGCAGCTGTGTGTCCTGAGAAAATGCTGTTCTCAATAAAAAACATGGACAAAAATGGGAAAAGCTGGAAAATAGTAGAGAAAAATCATCCTGCTGCTGCTCCAGGGCTTTCTTGAGGCTTCCACACAAGAGCTTCACAGCTCCAACTAACAACACAGAAACAAGTCTAACACAGAAAAGAGCACTGACTTCTTAGGATTTATGGAGCAGCTCCACACTTGGGTAGTGTGGCACAATTTAGTTTAAGATTATTCTTTTTTCATATCTCTGAAAAGATGCTTTCCTTTTTCCATTCCTCTAGCACAGTTATTGCTAACAAGCAGTTTGAAAATTGCCCTGTGTATTTTTGCCTGCTTTCAGGGTTTATTGGAACTGAAAATACTAGAGCAGTAGATTTAAATGTAGTGATTTAATCTTAGTGGTCATTATTTTATCATGCCAAAATATTGCTGTTCATGGGTGAAAGAGTAACCCCAATTTAACCATTTATTCCTGCTGAAAATAAGGAACAATGGATGTTACCAGAATAGTAGGCATTAGTTTTCTGGATTCTGTTGTTTCATTTTTCCCTCTGTAATTGTCTATGGGAGTTGGCATTTCACTTCTTTTGGATTCTAAATTTTGTTCCCAAATAGAGAGGTTAATCCCTTACCTGGATAAATGTTTCTGGAAAAGCCAAAAATAGCTATTCCTAGCTCCAAGTGGACAAACTGATTGTAGGAAATGTGTCCATTAGACACAAAAATTCCTGATCCAGACAATTAAATGAAGTCCAGTTGATGTACCTCAGAAAACAAGATTTAAGCTAATGTGTTTTTATCTTGCTCTCTATTATTGTCTTTTCTATAGAAACACCACAGCAATATGCAAAAAACTGCACTCACAACAAACAGCAGGTAGAGGAGCCTGGCCACAGAGGACATAATTGTTGATGTTCCACCATTTATAATATGAATTTCTAAAAGGTGGACTTACAGAGTAACTTTGTAACTTTTTTTTTTTCCTCTAAAGAGAAATAATCTGATTCTGTCATAAAATGGCTTTTAGCTTCTGGTCAGCAAACCCAGAAGGAGTCAAAAATATAACTCTACAATTAAGTCCTTGATAGTCCCAAAACTTCTTAAAGATTTTTCTTGTTGTTTTGGGGGCTTTTTTTCTTTATTTGGGTAGGTGGG